TTTTTTTTTTTTTTTGAGATAAATGCGTGGTAACAATTTTGAGAATTGATAAACTTGGAACATTTGGTATGATCATGAATTGAGATTGGGTGCAAGCTGGAGTTGGCAACTCTCCATTAACATTTTTCCTTAGGTTGAGTCTCTTCATTCAAGAGAGGAAACTAAGGAGGATTTGAACTAGAAAGATTAGCGCTAACTGGGATTGAGGTTGAGGATGTTGAACTTAAAAGCTAGTGGATGTCATTTCCCAGTTTGAATCAAATATCTGTTCTATAAATTTTCTGTGGATTTGTTGTTTGACAAAGTGGTATATTTATACATTTTAGGTATATTGATTATCTATTTTTGGGAGATTATGTTGATCGGGGACAGCACAGTTTGGAGACGATAACTTTGCTGCTTGCTTTAAAGGCAAGTTTTTGCCTTGAGTGAATCTGAATATTATATTATGTTTTTTCACTAATTTGCTTTTAACGTTCTCTATGTTTTATCAAATAATTTTAGATTGAGTATCCTGAGAATGTTCACTTGATTCGTGGAAATCATGAAGCTGCAGACATAAATGCACTCTTTGGTTTTCGCCTCGAATGCATTGAAAGAATGGTCTGGACCTCCAAACGAATATACGTGGATATTTTGTTTTCATCCCACAAATACTGACAATGGCTGGTGAAATATGTATCTGTAGGGGGAGAATGATGGAATATGGGCATGGACCCGGTTCAATCAGCTTTTCAATTATCTTCCATTGGCTGCACTTGTTGAAAAGAAAATTATCTGTATGCATGGTGGCATAGGGAGATCGATACATTCTGTGGAACAGATTGAGAAGCTTGAAAGGCCGATAACAATGGATGCTGGGTCTATAGTTCTGATGGACCTTTTATGGTAGCTCCCCTTTGATTTATCAACTGCTTTGTTGTCAACATACTTTAGAAATTTATTACATCAATTCTATCTTGGGCATTTATACAGGTCAGATCCTACCGAAAATGATAGCGTAGAAGGTTTGAGACCAAATGCTAGAGGACCTGGTCTTGTCACCTTTGGGGTAATGTGGATTCATAGTATTAATCATTCCTTATGTTTGATGAGATATAACAATATGTTTGATGAGATATAACAATAGCCTATTCATACCCCAGCGCTCAAGTTTGCCTTGAGCCATTACCTCTATGTAAAAATTGCAATGATGGAATTTTCTCCATCTTAAAGATATAATATGGCCTTCATTTGGAAGCACCACTACTGTTACAATTACTGGAAGCCTACACTACCAAAGGATTCAAAGTTCAAATAATTGAATCCTATAAACTTTTCCAAGTGCCTGACTATTGGGCTACCATACTGAAGTTCCAAATTTTTTAGAATTTGTTTGCATGTGTTTATTTAAAATATGTTTGTTTGAAAATGAACCCACTCTGATGTTATGTTGCTAATTGTAGCCTGACCGAGTAACAGACTTCTGTAAGAAAAACAAGTTACAGCTCATTATTAGGGCACATGAATGTGTGATGGATGGATTTGAGCGGTTTGCTCAGGGTCAATTGATTACTCTTTTTTCTGCAACCAACTATTGCGGTAAGCAAATTATCTGCAGTTTTTCTGCTTTGCTTTGGCATCATTTGCTACCTTACACTGTTTAATGCATCCAGGGACGGCAAACAATGCTGGTGCTATATTGGTAATTGGCAGGGGGTTGGTAGTGGTTCCAAAATTGATTCACCCGTTGCCACCTCCTCTTCGATCGCCGGAGACATCGCCAGAACGCATTATTGATGATGCATGGATGCAGGTAAGACTTATGGATTAAACATCCTAGTTGTTTTCACCTTTCCGTTGCAGCTAACTGTTGTAAGGAGTAAATATGTGCAGTGTCTTCCCTTGTAATCATGAATATTCCTATTGTCATACAGGAGCTGAATATTCAAAGACCGCCGACCCCCACTCGTGGTCGGCCCCAGCCTGACCTTGACCGCAGCTCACTTGCATATATATAACATTTCTATGCCTGACAGATTTGCTAAAAGTTACGACACTCCGCAGCACTTGGATATTTATTTGTGAATTTCGTGCAGCGGAACAAGACAGGGTCGGGATGTTGTATTTTTGAAGATGCAAGTAGTGAAATGTCGCCATATCTAGTGTACAAATAGCTTGAGAATAGCAGAGTAATGAGCTTTCGACAAGCGAGTGTAAGGTGTGTCCTACAAGTCTTGGAAGGGATTTTGGCTAAAGGTGAAATTGGTTTGGTAGCTCGTTGTATTATAAGTTGAAGGTTCTTTTCAAAATTTCTGATTACATATTTGTGAGGAATGTGTATTGTAAACATTAATGGTGTTAATATCCTGGTTCTTCCTTGATTAATTTCTTCTGTTTAACCCTCAAGGATTGTATCAAATTGTATATTGTCCATCATATGCATGCATGATCCGATCCATGCATTCAAATACACAGGTGGTTTGGATGGAGTATTTTTCTTGGCTTATATAGCAAGAACTATATGTATATATATATATATATATATTTTTTTTTTTCACATATAAACTAAACCAAACTATCTTACCTGTTAATGGTCTTCTTAATAAGTTAATTTGGTTCGAGGGTATTATATTAATTTTAAGTATTATATCTTAATTATTTATTATGAAAAAATATTTATATTTGATATATAAATTAACAAAATTTTATTCATATTAAAATCTTAATTTGAATAAGAGTGTGAAATATATATTTTCTTTTTTCCATTAAACTTCCACATTAATTTTTAATTTTTTATAAAATTTAACAAATTTTTAAATTATCCACTAAATGTTAATAAAAGTTATTTAATAAATCATTCGCAAATATATATATATATATATATACACACACATATATAAACATTACACTTTTTTTTTTTTCTGTCTAATTTATTTATTCCTGCTATATGTAGTCATGTGCCCGTTCCCTCTCTTAAAACAACCCTAAAACCCATCTTCCTCCTCCGTTCGCCACCTCTCTTCTGTATTTCGCGGCTACCCTCTCTTTCCAATCTCGAAAATTTCATCTTCACCTCATTTAACCGCCATCGCTTCTCCCTCTTATACCTCTCCTTTCGCCGAGACCAGATTGTAAGGAGCTTTACGATTCTCATCCTGACTGTGTTCTATTCTCCTTAAACATGGAGGAACATCAAGCTAGTCAACAAATTTCAAAGGTCTTTCCAATCAAACCGAAGCTCAAACCGAAGCCAAGAACCCAATCGCAGACCTCAGAGTCGAAGTACTGGTCATCCTTCAAATCCCACCAAATCCCTGACTTAATTTCATCAATCGCTTCTCTCTCCTTCTCTCCCGTTTACCCCCATGTCTTCGCCGCCGCTCACTCCGCTTCTCTCACCTTTTACTCTTCACAGACGTTCTCTTCCGCTTCTTCCATCTCCTCATTCTCCGACGTCGTTTCCTCCACCTCCTTCCGCTCCGACGGCGCCCTCATCGCCGCTTCCGACGTCTCCGGGCTTGTTCAGGTCTTCGACGTCAAGACCCGAACTCCTCTCCGGCGTCTCCGTTCCCACACTCGCGCTGTGCGATTCGTGAAATACCCACTTCTAGATAAGCTCCACTTGGTCTCCGGCGGCGATGACGCGGTGGTCAAGTACTGGGATGTTGCTGGGGAGAGCGTCGTTCTGGATTTGCTGGGTCATAAGGATTACGTTCGATGCGGTGATTGCTCCCCTGTTAACGGTGACATGTTTATCACCGGGTCTTATGATCACACAGTGAAGGTCTGGGACGTTAGAGTCGAGAATTCGAAGTCGGTCATGGAGGTAAACCACGGGAAGCCTGTCGAGGATGTCATTTTCTTGCCGTCCGGCGGGTTAGTTGCGACCGCCGGAGGGAATTCCGTGAAGATTTGGGATTTAATTGGGGGAGGGAAGATGGTGTTTTCCATGGAGAGCCATAACAAGACTGTAACTTCGATCTGCGTGGGGAGAATTGGGAAGGAGAGCGGAGAAGAGGCAATGCAGAATAGAATTCTCAGTGTTGCTTTAGATGGATACATGAAAGTTTTCGACTATGGAAAAATGAAGGTGACTCACTCCACGAGATTTCCTGCTCCGCTCATGTCAGTTGGCTTTTCGCCGGATTCCATGACCAGATTGATAGGAACCTCCAAAGGAATCATCTTTGCAGGGAGGAGGAAGATGAAGGAAAACGTGGAGACCGGAACTGGAAACTTTTGGCAGTTAACCAACGAAGCAGGCAAGCCAAGGAGACCATTAAGGCCTACTTATTTCAGATACTTCCATAGAGGGCAGAGTGAGAAACCATCAAAAGATGATTACTTGGTGATGAGACCAAAGAAAGTGAAATTAGGGGAGCATGATAAATTATTGAAGAAGTTCAGACACAAGGAGGCTCTGGTTTCTGTCCTGAGCAAAAAGAACCCAGCTAATACCGTAGCTGTGATGGAGGAATTGGTGGCAAGGAGGAAGCTGTTGAAGTCCATTTCGAATATGGACAACGAAGAGCTTGGCTTACTGTTGATGTTCTTGCAAAAACAGTCGACCATGCCAAGGTATTCTGGTTTGTTAATGGGGTTAACTAAGAAGGTTCTTGAGTTGCGAGCAGAAGATATTGGAGCTTGTGATGCATTGAAGGGGCATGTTAGAAATCTTAAGAGGTCCATTGATGAGGAGATAAGAATACAACAGGCCTTGCAGGAGATAGAAGGGATAATCTCTCCATTGCTGAGAATTGCAGGAAGAAGATGAAGTTAATGGCTTTTTATATCTTGGGTTGTTTATTTCAGGTACCTTTTTACTTCAAGAGAGAAGTTCTCCAATTTTGGTCAATGAGATATTATTTCATGCTTTGTTTGCTTCTATCTTTATATTGCTGTAAACATATTTGCACGAAATTAAAGTTCTAATGCAATTAAATGAGCGAAATCATCTTCAATTTCGATATAATTTTTAGTTCTGAATCGTTTCATACCACCGCATAAAAATTTAAAGTGTTGGAGCAATATATTTTATCAGTTATAAGTCTATTACATGGTACCTGGAAATTTTTCAGTGGCATGTTTGGAGTGAATTTGATTTATGAAGGCATTGCTCATGGTAAATTGATTCAGCTTCTCTTTTTTCCTGGTGAAGTGAACAACTTAGTCGCAGATAGTAGTTCAAGTAATCAACTTAGGGTTTAGGACATGAGAGAAATTTAATTAAAGGGTGAAGAGCTGGAGGTCTATAGGAACTCTTTATATTTTCAAGAAGAGAAAGGTCTTCGGCAAAGGAGATGAATCTTTCCAGAAAAAAGGAGATGAATCTATAGGATTTTGAATATCCTGCCCACAAAGAAAAGAATGGCAACCTATGGGATTTGTCTATGTCCTTCATAAACAAGTCCTTAGCATACAGGTAGAGATTTGATTTCGGGTGAGTTAAGGCCGTGGGAAGATATTCTGATATGCAAGTCCAGGAAAAAAGCTCATCCCCTTCATTCTGTTGGCTATCTATCATTTTAATAATCTCCAAATAATGGAACAAGGGAACAACTAAGCTGGATGTTATGGCCGAAATTATATCTCTTATGTTTATATGAGAAAAGTTGTATATCCATTGAAAAGGCTTCACCATTTTGTTTTCACCTGTGCCCAAATTGTAGATTTCTTAATCGTTCATATGAGTTCTTAATTGTTGATTCTCGTTTTCTGACTGCAATCATTTTGCCATTACTTTGCAGCTTGCAACTATGTTTGGAACAAATAAACTAATCCTGTAAAAATTGATCATCGATTAGTTAAAGTGAAGTTTTTGTTATTTTGTAAGCGTGAAGTTTTTGATTGATAATAATTTTTTTACCTGGTTGAGTTATTTCCGTGAAAATATGGAGCCTACAATGACCAAAAAGAGAAAAAAAAAAAAAAAAAAAAAAACTAACTAATCAGCAACGATAATTTCATGGCACATGCGGAGCCAAAGGGTAAATGCCCTAAGGTACTAACATGTTAGCGTCCTGCATTTTCTCTTTTGGACCTCTCATCGACCCAGCACCAGTACATTTCTGGAGAAGAGGAATTCGGTTGAGACAACAACAATCGTATCTTAAACATGGAAAATTTGGTAAAGCTTTGATAATAAACTACTGTGACATTTAAATTTGAGTCTGGCACGAACCAGAACAATATAAAAGAAGGCATGGAGAGTAACCTCAACCCAATGGGAAAGACAGATAGATGAAACCTTATGAACTTTATTTACAAGCTATGTATTCTACAATGCACGAAGGTCTGGCATTCTCTCAGACGATCCTACAAAATAAAATTAAAAAATCAGGAAGATAGAACAGTACACTACATAGTTTATTATTAAAATCCTCTTATGCGTGAAAGCCAAAACTAAGAAAACCAAAATTTGGGAAAAAAATTGAAAAAAGAAAAACAAAACGAAAGTTAATTGTTAATTTAAAAAACCCGAAGTTTTCATGTATGATAACAACAGACAAACTTAAGGATTGGATCATCTGAAAGTTTTCAGAAAATTGAATTATAACAAGTTCAAACAACTGGAACTAAAACTATAATTTGCACCAGACAGTTTAAAGAATGTGAGTGTAAGAAAAATCCTATTAACATCACCAACTTGCTTAAATAGAGTAACATTGCAGTGTGATACATTGACCCGTGCACAATTGTTGCTAAAACAGAATTCTGCAATACAAAAAGAAAATTCCATTGACCAAACCAGGATAGAGGTGGTGGATATCCATGAACAGATATAACTATAAATGCATTATTGGCATATCTAATTTTAATTTTTGGTTTTTAATGCGCAGTGTAGTCTGACACCATAGTTGAGCATTGAAGGCCAGTGTAAGGACATCCCACAAATTTTGGGCTGATGCAACTGCCAGGGAATTCGGTTATATGATCTAAGGTGAAGTTTGAATTCAGTCTTCTTCATGAGGTAAAGAACTATTTCTGTCAAAAATCTAATGGCGAAGCAACATGTAATGCTCTGAATTTGAGCTGAACATATTAATATTTATCAATATAACTACATGCATATCTTTATTTATGCATATGCAAGCCACAGTTTGAACAGACATTTAATAGGAGAGTAACGCATTTCATACCTAAAGTCCTGGATGGGGCTAAAGGATTGGTAGGCTTGCAAAAACTCTGTCACTAACTGTGCCTAGTGGGTGTTTTCTTCCCTTGGGGTTTTCGATGACCTCAATCTGGATGATTTAAGAGAATGTATCAACGGGGCATTTTCATCATCTTCTTCGTCTTGAGCATCTTCTTGGTCTGGATCACTAATTGGTTCCTCTTCACTTGAATTATTCTCATCAAAGAGTCTCTTTCCTTCAATATTACGGCTTTTTCGAGGACGACCTCTACGCCTGACAGTCGCTCCATCTTTCTCATCTGTAACAAATTTGTAACATGTAATATTTTCCATGAAAAAAGCACAAAAGAAGCTTCATAAAAGCTCCGGCTGCACAGGAAAACATCAAAAGCACCTATATAGTGACTATAAATATATTTCTTGTCTGGATAAATACAATTTTGACAATTCAATGAGGAAAACATACATTGGAGAGCTATCTAGATTATTGACAAGTATTGACTCATTTCCAAATTGAAGGTAATCAACTTCAATAAATCAGATTTAAAGAGAAGATATACACATAAGATGTATATATATGAAGAAAGAATAGGAAATAGCTAAGCAAAGAAGAAAAGCCATGGGAACATGACCCAAGGAGAATAAGCACAACCATGCAGTTACGAGTCCAACAACTTTCCCGACATAAAAAAGAACATCAGATCTCTAGGAAGCATCTACTAAGTTGAAATTAAGATTGTAACTGAATATTTACGTTGAGTTTGGTTCAAATTCCAATTCTATGGAATGAGAAAAACATTCAATTGAAATATGATAGAATAAATGAAAACAACAGTGTTATTTAAAATCAATTAAATATCCAGTTCAAATTAGGTGTTTGTCCGATTCTTTCCTTAAGATGAGACAATACAAAATTCATATTTATAGAATTGAAGATAGGAGGAAAGTTAATTTAGTAACTTGAAAATAGATGGATGATATTTTATTTCAGAAAAAAAGAAGATGAATTATATTCAAAAACAGCAAGGAGGTGCAATCTAACAAAATGTCTATTAGGTTCCCAAAATCCTAACTAGTATAAAGTAGGTAACATTTAATTAAAAAGCTTAGGATATAGAACCAAGTATTCTTAAATTTATCAAAATTAGATTCAATGTCCTCAAAAGCTCTTTTGTTCCAAAAGGTAGCCAATGCCCCTCGAAGCACAGAGCTCCTCCTTAACTGAACCAAGAATGACCTAATTCAGGCCCCAATAACCACATGCCAAACTCCAAAGCCGTTATGCAAACGGCCACCACAAAAGAATGGCTGCAAACTTATGCACTGCTCTTGCACAACATTCCTTTAAATTTTTCCCCTCCCAATCAACTTGCCCAAGGTTAAAATAATTCCTTGAGATGCCTCCCAAGGAGAAAAAGGCTACTCTCTGGTTGCCTTAACCTTGCAAATTTATCTAGCAAAAATCCTCCCTCTCCATCACCCCATTGCTCAAATGCCCATAATAGGACTTCACTAATAAAACTCCAGAAGATATCAGCTTCCATATGGGATTCAAATGTGTAAATTATAATTATCTTCTATATACCAAACAACTAGGATTTAATTGAGCGATAATAGAACAATTAATTTTACCAAATGATTAGATGCTGAGTAATACC